TATAATATATCAAAATATTAAATAGTCCTCGAAATAATCATTGTAATATTAAATTTGATTGTCAAAAAACATTGCATGTATTTACATTAACGCATTTGATATTTCCTTAATCTATACATATAAATAAAACTGGAGTGTCTGTTTGTAATATTGAAAAAACCGTTTGTTTACTACATGCATATGAACATAAATACGGTACCTACATACACCAAAATAACAATTTTTACAGTTTTTATCTGTCTGTCTGTCTGTTTGTTCCTGCTAATCTCTGAAATGGCTGGACCGATTTTGACGGAACTTTTTTTGGCAGGTAGCTGATGTAATAAGGAGTAACTTAGGCTACTTTTGTTTTAGAAAAATGAAGTTAAATTCCACGCGTACGAAGTAATAATCTCACAAAATTAAACATCAAATATATTTAAATATGCTTATTGCCACATGGTACACATAATGGTCTATTGGGAACAATCAACGTTAACAAATCAATGAACACACCCAATAAACATATCCGCAAATCCGTGGAAATAGGCGCGGACTACAATATAATGAGACTTAACTATTGAAAAACATCTACACTCGGTGCTAACCGTCCACTCATGAATGGGCTGCCAATCACTCAGATTGTGACCCTTCTGTCGTTGGAAATAAAGCTTAAATTTGATGCAGACTATAAATTACACACAATTGTACGTGGTACTTTGGTATAATCCGAATAAACAGAGGGTGACCAGCGTACGTCATGTGCACGCGCCGCATTTATCACCTTCAAATACGAGCATCAATGTTTACTATAGATTGGAGAGTTCCCACATTATTTCTATTCGACACACAGCTTTTTCTAAAAGCTATTAATTGCATGATATACGGGCTTCGCTATTTTTATTACAGGCTTTTATTTAAATTGATCCGTTTGTATGAATCACACGGTATTCCGAATTAGAAAATGCCAAAATAATTATTATAACATCGTATAAAACAAAGTCGCTGTCGCTGTCTGTCCGTCCCTATGTATGCTTCTTTAAAACGACGCAACGGATTTTGAAGCGGTTTTTTTAATAGATAGAGTGATTAAAGAGGAAGGTATTCTGGGCAAAAGGGGCTCATTTGATGAAATATAAAATTTTGCGAGCTTCTTAACAATCCAAGAATTAATAATTTTTACAATTTTTTACAAATAAAACATAGAAAATTCAGGTAAAATGTCCAATTCAATGTACCAACACATAAAGTTTAAAAAATAAACTGTACATAGATTACTGCTAAATTTCTGTAAAAACGTCTATTTATGTGTATAGATGTATATAGGTAAGAATTAAGAAAACCAATTTTGCCAACAAACTATTTACTTATTAAGTGAATTGAAATAAAATAAAAACATATATATGTTAGATAAATGCTAAATACATGGTAGAACATGATATTGAATGTAATCATGCTGTGTTTTAGTTTCTTTGTCCTTATTTCTTTAGTCTAATGAAACATTACCCGAGTGGAAGATGTTAACAGGACCCCCTCCCGCGAACAGTGCACGAACGGCGACAGTAACGACTAGTTAGAGGAATGCCGCAGGTAGTACACGAGCAGAGAGGGCAGAGCAGAACAGATTTATCTTAAATATATATAACTCAAAGGTGACTGACATAGTGATCTATCAACGCACAGCCCAAACCAGTGGACGGATCGGGCTGAAATTTGGCATGCAGGTAGATGTTATGACGTAGGCATCCGCTAAGAAGAAGAAGGCGTAGGATTTTGATTAATTCTACCCCCAAAGGGTTAAAATAGGGGATGAAAGTTTGTATAAAACTTTGTCAATTTTAAACCGATCGGGCTGAGACTTTGCATGCATAAAGCTAATATGACGTAGGCATCTCCTAAGAAAGGATTTTGATAAATTCCATCCCTAAGGGGATAAATTAACGCGAGCGAAGCCGCGGACAAAAGATAGTAATATATTAAGATAATATATTAAGACAATATTTAATGAATAAAGGTGAAGTTGGTAACATTATTTTAAACTCATTAGTTCCATGTGCTGATGTTGATAATCATTTTGTTATTTTATAACATTACTTCGTCTCAATGCGTAATTCAGACAAAGTTACGCGGGTTACTTGCCCATGATCATTATATATCCAATTTACAAAATATCTTTTTCAATTATAGCCTATGTGTTATTCTGGTCTATAAGCTACATTACTGTTAAGTTTCATCATAATCCGTTTAGTAGTTTTTGCGTGAAAGATTAACAAACATCTATCCATAGTCATAAACTTTCGCGTATATAATATAATATTAGTAATATTAAAGACTAATTATTAACTATCTTTACGTAACCAAATACTAATTCGTTTACGATTTCATCCAACAAACTTGTCGGTAGAAAAAAAAATTGCGTCTAGTTTTAATTCTACATAAGTACTGAACTTTGTTACGGAAATGATTTAAATCCACCACAAACCGTGCGTTGAGAGGCAGCTATATCGTTCTTATCCACGTCTCATTCCATCCCTTAAATAAAAGTGTCACCCTCAGTACACATTCGCACCATCGGTTGTTTATCATTTTTTCGATCAGTAGAACCCGCCAGATAACCGTGGGGTTAGTTGACAGCTTTCAACTGTGGATTAACTTGGAACGGCCGTGAAGCTCGAAATTTAATAGCTTTTTTGAGTAGAATTGCCTTTGGGACCGCTTTGATTTAGTCTCGGCGGTTGTTAGTTGAAGTTCGTTCGAGCATTTCATTTCTATTATAATTTCTAATTAGGTATAATATGCAGATAAAACATGTAGTATAATAAAGTTAATTTTATCCACATCATTATCGTTAACTACAAATTCAGTTTAGGGAAATTTAATTGATTTACTCCTATTATTTCTGAAACATATAAAATCTAATGAACAATTAATTATAATATGATTTTGTCCCATTCGGTGTCGAGACCCTTGGTCCGTGGGGTCCTAGCGCTATAAGACTTTTCAAAGAAATAACGAAAAGGTTAGTCGACATCACAGAAGATCGAAGAGCTGGCAGCTACCTTGGACAAAGAATTAGTCTAGCTATTCAAAGAGGGAACGCTGACAGTATCTTCGGAACGTTGCCTAAAGGGACCTAGTCCTTTTAATAATATATTTTAGTTATTATATTATATTTTTTAAGCTTTTAAATTTTAGGTTTTTAGTTGTACAATTAAATTATGTAAATATTCTAAATATACCTTATAGAAATTAATTATTCATGTATTTAGTCGTTTATGTTTACGTCAATTTTTTGTATTAATATTTTTTCTCTACCCTCCAAATCAATATACAGACTCAATTGAGAAGAACTGGCACGAAACTCGAAAATATTTTTTTTTAAGCCAGTTTATTTACATTGGGTACATATGTAGGTGTCTAGGTTTAACATTAAATTAAAATCCCGTGCATGAACTACTATTACCATGCAAGTTTGTCATACAAGTAATCGTTTAATGTATATATGGCTTTGCTCAATGAATATGATTTAATAAATATTTTGAATTTATTTAAAGGTAATTCTAGTATAACCTTAATTTAAAACATTTAATTTTTATTCCCATAAAAGATATATTAACAGCAGGTTTGTCTTTAAATCTAGTATTAATATTATGAATATGGGTATTACTTGGAATTGAGTGATTATTTTTGCGTACATATCGAATATTTGAGTACATATATACACATATATTGACACGCAACGGTATAGTTATACTAATAGCTCAAATATACATACTCGTAATTAAGTTCTTATTATCTTATTAATTAGGATTATTGTTGCTTTTTTTATCAAATATTTTCTTCATAATATAGCTACTGATACGGCTTTCGATGACATCTCACGCAGGTTCGATAAAAACGAATAAGTGTGAATGGAAATGATATATCGCTGAATCAATAGGTATTGCTGTCGTCGAGCTTTTATGTAGAAAATTTATTCGCGTAACGTGCGGTATGAATAGAATAATTTACGGCACATGTTATTTCATCGGGGAATTGCAATTGGCGAAGGCAATTTCGTTCATTATTTACTCAAGAAATCATCTAGGACCATCAATAGAGAAATATCTAAAATGGAGACGCTTTTTGTGTTGAGAAGGTTTTATTGAAGGAAATACTGTTTCCAAATTATATAGTAGGGTAATAGAGAATTTTATAAAGCACTTTTAAACGACTAAATGAAGATTCTTGTGGATGACGGTAGGAAAAAAAATAGAATAGATTCGTTCAAAAGCGGCTAACATGTTCTACATGAATAAATGATTATTGAATTTGAATTTGTTGTATCATAAGAACTATAAATTATAGACAGAAAATTGGTAAAATTTATGTGGTCAATATACATACGTATCGTAATGATTTCGTTGCGTGTTCTGTATTTACTTTAGTTCGTATAATTTTGTCTGTACCTTCTGTTAAGTCTATGATTTTATCTTTAAAAAAACTTATATTAAAGGTATTGAATTTGTTAGAAATTTATTAACACCAGCCTGCATATAAATAATAAATTATAGTGAGAGGTAAATAATAGCAATGGCCAATGAATAATTTATAAATTGAGCCTGTAAACGAAAACAATACCCAGCAAAATGATAAAGCAGAGGTTTAGTTGAATGAAACGGAAACGGTTCTCATCTCTGAGTAAATATAGACGGCAGATCATCCGTTTAATATTGACTGTGGCTGATAAGGTAAATATTAAAGTCGGCAGTTTACTCCATAATTGGATCTGTTAGTTTTGTTTTACAGATATTATTTTCAATTATATTCCAAGTTAAATAGTAGTTAAAACATTTATTAGTATCTCCTAACTAATTCATTATAACTTTGACCACGTATGATATTTGTCATATTATCTAGCAAAGTTTTGACAAATAAATTTTAATTAATTTCAAATAGATCAAATTATTACAAAATCATAAAACTTTATAATTTTATAATACACTGTACACAAATAGAAAGTTGATCAAATGTTGACTTACCTGATGGGCATACGCAGTCCCCATAATCCCTGATACTCCGTTTCGGTCTCCAGTAACTCGGCGGTGGCCGAGATAGCACCTCCCTGCGAAGTCTCTCCACAAGAGGCTGCTGAGGCTCGAGAACAGCGCTTCTCAATGCCAAGTGCTGTTCTTCCAAAAGAGACAGTCTGTCCTGAAGTCCTTGCTGCTTGTACAAACTGTAGCCGCTCGAGATGAGGCTCATCGCGCACGCACACCACAACACTATGCAGTACGCCCAGGGATCTCCGGGACATTTGTCTTCGCATCTTTCCCATTTCTTCTTGACTTCCTTTTTCTCCTCTTTCTTTGTCTCCTTCTCGGGCTTCGGGCCCGGAGGCAGCTTCCCTCCCATTTTTAAAATCATATTTTCCAAATTTGTGTTCTCATGAAGAAGATTTTGGAGGGAATTTAAAAGAACTCATCTCTAACGTCCCCATCTATATTATCCTTAAACTGGACCGGAACATATCGAAAAATGCATTGCGACCACAAAAAAAAAACGTAGCTTTCGAAGCGACAACTCAGATCGAATATCAAAAAATCTGAATATAATGAAACACAAACAAAATACACATAGGAAACACAAAATCGTAACAAATCAAAAGGTTTAACTTAAATAGGATCTTATTCGGTTTTTCGGGCAATCTCGAGTTGTTCGTTCGTGCGATCGTGTTTGAATTCGTTGCGATCCCGCGCGATCGGGCAGGACATGCAATGTTCTCGATAGGCGGCGCGCCACTGACTGAGTCACTGAGTCTTGCGTGCCTTGCCGCGTTGTTGGGATCAACTCCATGCAGCCGCTACGAGACGAGCGTGCGCTATACACGACGGCAACTTTGATATAGCTCCCTTCAACATTTGGGAGTACTTGTTTAGAGACACTCCGACCGTATATTAGATTCTTATTGCCCGCTGGCAGTTTTCTCTTAATGGGTAGTGCTACGAAAATGTATGTAGGAAATTAAACTCAAATAGTATTAAGTCTGATGGACACTTTGATGTTACGAATTAATCTTTTTGCTTATGAATTTACTTTAAATATCGCAATAAACAGAAATAAAATGTAAAAAGTAAATGTAGGTATACCTAATGAATAAAAATTCGAAATACTTCAAATAATTTAAGTCAATAATGAATGTGTACCGTATTGAAACAATTTTACTTGCCTTTGTATCTATACATTTTTATACTTAATGTTGGCGACGATTTTGATAATTTCATTTTAAACAAGGTTTACTTTAATAATGCTTCTCATAATTTACTAAATATACTAAGAAAACATTATTTTTATTACATTTTTAATTAAAATACATTCTGTCACTGCCCAGCCAGTTTCTGCTGCGGTTTAATAAAAGTTTAATAAGACAATAGTATTATATTATATATAAAATTCTCGTGTCACAGTTTTCGTTCCCATACTCCTCCGAAACGGCTTGACCGATTCTCATGAAATTTTGTGAGCGTATTGAGTAGGAATCGGCCAACATCTATTTTTCATGTTAGGGCTAGTCCACCCCTAAATTTTGTTTTTATTTTAAGGCAAAACAACGTTTGCCGGGACAGCTTTCTTAGTTTTCTTATAAATAAATCAGACAAAGCTCAAAGTTTTAATATTATATATTTATTACAACTCTCCGATCATATTATGCTTGTCTCTAAAGTTTTATTAAATCTGATTCAACAATTTTGGCAAACCTTTACACGATAACGTACGTTTTCAAACGCCTACGATTTAAAAAAAAACAGTATAAAGCAATTAACAATCATAAAAACAGGCAGTCAGGTTTAAATTGTCCGCTGGCAATTTGGACCTCGAGAATGCGGCATGAGTCGTATTTATTGATAGCTATGGAAGGTATTAAGGGATGCGTGCAAAAAGCTGCAGGCAAGAGACCAAATTGAGCGCAGCTCGCGTGGAAACCGAGGGGTGTACAGCAATCCAGTTATCCGGAGCCGGGTCCCGCCTGATGAGACACGGTCGATACTAAACTGTGTGATTTAGTGTGCAATGAATGTAAATGATCATATTTGGAGCTCGGCTCCAATGTGGGACGATGTTTATGTTTTTGATTTCGTTTTGGGTGCTGTCAGTTTTTGGTATTGGATGGTGTTAATAGAGTTGTAAAGATTGTTTTATTAATTCTGTTGATGTACAAACGTTGTAACGGTTTGTTAGCAATAAAACAAGATACTTGATCGTAAAAAATTTGGTGAATTCTTTTAAAATTGACCAAGTTTTTTACGATTTAAAATGTTTTCAACATCACACCTGCATTCACAGATCACAGACATCGTAGTTGTCCTAAAAGTTACTTTGACAGGCCATACATTATTTTTTTATTGATTCCTTCTTTATAGATTTCAATTTACACAAAGCTGTTAATGTTCTCTATCCTATTCTTCTGTTCTCTGTAAGAATTGTTCTTTACTTCTATATAAAATTATCATTTTGTATCGTATTGTATATTTTTTTCGCGGTTTACCCCATCAAAATTTATAGCCTGTACGTTATTCTATATATAAGCTATATTACTGTAAAGTTTCATCAAAATCCGTTGAGTTATTTTTGCGTGAAATAAGTAAGTAAGAATATAAGTGACGATCTCGGTGTTCTAGCGGTCTAGCACACCGCTTTATGTCCAATGGTCGCGGGTTCGATTCCTCGCACGGCACAAACATTTGTATTCATGAGTATGATTGTTTGTATCGGTCTGGGTATTTTCTATGTATAATCTGTATGTATTTACGAAAAAAAAATCTATTTGTATCAGTTGTCTAGTACCCATAACTCAAGCTTTAGCTAGCGTAACTTGGATCTAGATGGCGGTGTGTGAATTGTTCTGAGATTATTATAAGTTTGGTATCACGTATCTATTACACTCATGCCCAAAGTAGCTGAGCTCACATAACCGCAAATTATATCTAGACCTTCACAATGAACTCCGTAATTAACTAACATTATACATGACATATTTTCTATTGCACAATAATGTTTCCCATACCAATTTCCATTCTAGACTTGGTAGATGCAGCTTCACAGCTGGACACGTTTCGCCGTCAAAAATGTCGTGTCAAAAGACTTAGGATAGTAGAGATTCCTGGTCTATTTATTTATTTATTTATAAACTCTTTATTGCACCAATAGAATTAATACATAAGAATTATACAGAAAAGAGATATGTAAGTACAAAAAGCGGTCTTATCGCTAGAAGCAATCTCTTCCAGACAACCTTTAGGTAGAGAAAATACAACAAAATATATCTATATGAGTCTTTAGGTCAAAAACACAATTTGTATGTAATCCGAATTAAATAAACAAGTGCACCCGTGAAAGTGTATAATATGAATGTGGATGGATGTAAAGGGACGGGACGCTCTAAGAAAAGATGGATGAATTGTGTGAAAGATGATTTGAATAAAAGAAGAGAATGCTCAGATATGACGACCGATAGAGAGCAGTGGAAGAGAATGACACACTGCGCCGACCATAAATAATGGGATATAGGCAAGGCAATGACGATGACCCGTGCCTAGCCATCCACATAACAGTAGCCAAGGAGGCAGCAAAGTTTTTTTTTCTCTTATTTAGGAGCTTATCACAATAGTGAGCATGTTAGCTCCGTGTTGACTTCTTAATTAATTACATCTAAAATTTAAATTCTATAAAGACAAATCTTACCTACTTTTATTTATAAATTTATAAATTAGTACCGATTGTTTTGATACAGGTTCTGATAAAATGGCAGCAAAGTTGTAAGAAGAATGGATGCTGCAGCTATATATAATAATACACTATTCTGTAATATCCATGTTGCTGTGTTTATCATTTCCGTTCGCCTTCCGTGTTTCAGTAGGCCGTCAGATTTATTTGTCTTATTTAAATGCTACTCCATCTATAAACAAACTTGACATTTAGTAGCAAGATACTTTATGGAGTGCACTCAACTAGTAAGAAAGGGTTTCTAAAAATTTCTTCGGTAACTAGTATAATATAATGTAATGTAGTGTAGTGTAGTGTAGTGTAATGTAATGTAATGTAATATAGTGTAGTGTAGTGTAATGTAATGTAATGTAGTGTAGTGTAATGTAATGTAATATAGTATAATATAGCGTAGCGTAGTGTGGTGTAATGTAATATTATGTGGACTTTATCAGACTTTTATGTGGCTCAGTTGAGGTGCTACATACTTTCAAAGAAAACTAAAATTTAGAGTGTGTAAGTACAAACTACCAATTAGCACTAATTCAATTAAATAATCAAATAGAAAAGATATTGAATATACAACCAAAGGTTAAACAATTAATAAGTGGAAATTAGTCATACTGATTAGAGCAGACCAGTCCAGTAAGAGTATGTTATAATTGAGGAAGGTAAAAATTATTTTTATATTTACATATTAATATATATACATATATTAATCTAAATGTAATTAAATGTATATTTATATACATATTATTATATAACTAGTATTTACATAACCTAATTGTACAACTAAGAACCTAAAATAAAAAGCTTAAAAAAAATAATATGATGACTTAAAATTTAGATATATGTATATTTAGAGTATAAGTAGAATGTTGTTGTGTTTGTAAGTGATAGTTCAATTTAAGCCACCCACCGACCAGACTCGCCGAAGTTAGTCAGACTTTGATCAAAACTAGTTAACAACTGCCAGTTTCTTTCTACATAGAATAAATAATCATTAAATCTAAAGTTTGTTAGACAACCTGACAACTTTGTATGTTGTGTTAGAAAAACAACGGGAATATATATATATTTTTTAACAAACCGAGTTGAATAAAACACTGTTGCTACTTGACCTTTGACTTGGAAGCAGTACGTGCTAATGGCTTCAATTGAGGATAAATTATAGATTTTTCGATCCCCGTCCGATTCAAACGGGGATCGATATTAAGACGGCCTGAGCCGAGGTTCGAACCCCTAGCGGTGGCCTCAGACTAAAGTCGTATCCGTCAGGCGGGAGTTGGCTTTCAGCTGCTGCATAAGTCCTTCTGCGGGTTTGGAGTGCCATCAGCACTCGCCCCCTATCGTTAGGTGAAGCAGTAAACGCCAGTTAAAAAAAATCCGAAAAAGATTTTGCCTTAATTTGATTTGCATCCACGTTATGTCCTTTAATATTGTGTTTTTATATTTGACCCTAATAAATTAGTGCTGGTAGAAACTACCAGTTTGTATTCACACGTTTCGACTTGTAAAATGTGAACTTACAAGGATTATTTAAAAGAGCAACACACAAGTTTCTTGCTCGTTCTTCTTGTGATGAGACAGCTTTCCGAATGAGCGGTAGATAAAAAAAAATGTTATGACTATTCAAAAGTGCTTAAATTAAGTTTATTTGAATAAATGATTTTCTATTCTATTGTATTCTTTTCTATTCTATGCCTCTGAAAATAATCATGATAAATTCCTGATGAAATTTCGACAATATAATATGCTAACTAATCGGAAGTTGTGGTCGTCGTATCATCTTCTACTGGTGCCCCGAAACTATTAATGTCGAAGTACACCATATTATTCATTGAAATAGAAATAGAAATAATCTTTATTCAAACAAACTCATTACAAGCACTTTTTAATAGTCATATTTTGATTCTACCACTCATTCGGAATTCAGATTCATCACAAGTAGAATGAGCAAGAAACTTGTGTGTTGCTCTTTTGAATAGACGTTTTTTTTTATATAAATAGATACGGTATAACAAGTAAGAGGCATGCGATAATCAACATAGAAATAACTACGCACTCATTATTAGTGTAATCAGATAATATTGTCAGTGCTATGGATTTTAATTTTGTTTTTTATAATA